ATGACATTACTTCACGAAATATCTGAACAAAATGTCTATAAGTGCAATACCTCTGCTGTTTATTAGTGCCGTCAGCAGAAAATTATGAACGCAAACAGAGTAGCGTTTGTAGCGTTGATTACGTATTGGTCTGACAACATTAGATTTCTGTCTGTCGAATGAAGCTCTGAGTAGGTCTGCTCCTTGCTAGACATGTTTCATTGAGTTCACGATGTTAACTCTGGAGATGCACCGGTGAACACCATAAAACCAGCCCATTACCACATATATCCATATAAATAGACGGTAGTAGAATTATCTCTTCCAGTCAACAGAACAATGTCAAACTGTCGTGTTATGTGTTGATGTACATACACATGTAAAAACACTAACAACAAAAAGAATCTTAAAACATGAGTATGAGCTAAGAACATAAGTGATAATAGTGAAGTGGTCTTTCCAGCTGTTCAGTAAACTTAAGGGCGACAGTAAATTTTTATAACGATTTTAAAGACTTTAATAAATTTAACAAATAATTGATGTTAATACAGTATAATATCTAATTATGTATCAAATGAACCTATTTAAGTAAGATCATATGAATAAAACATATGTTTTCATATTAAATAACGTTAATTAATTAAATACAAAATCTATCTAAATAGTTTCATCTAAAATGCTTATATGAATTACGAGCCTGCGCTCTGTATTAGTACAACATTAAAATTCTGGCTTGAAGAAACAAGTCGCCATAATACCAAACATTAATTCGCATTTGGAAAAAAAAAAAATTGTAGATGGTAATATTAAATGATTTTAAATGTTAACAATGAACAATTTACAATAAAATATCCCTATAAAATATAACACGACACTTTAGCTCAGACGTCTGATTAAAACAACTTATTACCTTCTTGCAAACGGGATTGTTTTTACACTTAAAACGTGACACAGGGTCTGATTTTCCTGTATTTTTATTTCAGACAATTTGCCGCACGTTTTTATGTATACGTTACGCTCTGAACTGCTGTATATGAGACTGTTCACGTTTATTTTCTTAAGAATATACGAATCTTCCCCAGCAGCTCTTAAAAACCTTTTTTGTCTTTTCTGTATGGGGCGTATTGTGTATCATTATAAACTCACTCTTCGTGTATATGAACTTCACGGCGATGACTGGATATGATGCATGGATTTTTGTGAATGGACCCCTCTTCCTCCTCCCTGCTGCTGGGATGATTATGATTCTTCATGAACAACAACAGAGAGACTTGATGGTGTCATGTTATAGTACACCGCGTTAACATGTGGAAGCCACATGCCTGCTTCCCCTAAGTGTGGGAGACTAGCAGCGATGCCGTATTACGTACATACCAGCAGGACTTCAAGAGTCACTGCATTAAATTTGTCGAGTTCTAGGCGACCAAGAATGAATGTCGCGGTCACTGTTGCCATTGCTCGCCGGTAGTTGGTGATCAGTGACTACTCTAGGGTTTGACCGTCCGAACACTGGGACAAGAGTTCGAATCTAGATCGGACCATGGATTTACGTTCACTGTATGTAATGACGTGTTGTCCTGTGTAGGAAGAGTGTTTGAGATGAAGTCAGTGTTCAGGAATTTCTTCCAAATACCCAAAAGAATGAATTGTTTTGTAAGTTAACTCTAAGTAGGAGCCAAACTACACATTCAAGATTTCTCGCGTTCGAATCTTGCCCAAAGTAACACCTCAAATAATGTCCGCTTTCCTTTCCAACAATCATTTTTCATGATCATGCTGCCGTATAAAGTGCGCATCGAACGTTTTGAAACAGGAAGCAAAGCTATGAAAGCTTCAAATCCTTTAAAAGTGTTTTAAAAAAGTTGCACGCCAAATGTTAACTGCCCCTCAATATGGGCTTCGATGCGGATTACCAATGTCTGCACATACGTCTCTATTAACTTGGCTTACGTGTTCAACAAAGTTTACACCTAGGACATCCACTACCTGAAGTACTTGGGCTACTCGTGTTTGAATGTTTTGGGTCAGATCATTAAAGAAATTCATGGTGCTTGTTAAAGTTCGATACTAAAAAATATAAGCAATAAGAAGATGGTTTTCTTATGGTTTATAGCAACGTGTAGTCTTGTAGAAGTTCGCAAACGTTTCAGAGGTTCCTGCTGCGTCCATCATCAGGGCGATCAGTAAGTAGTGCGCGAGAATCGGTTTCAGATATGTGGCCGAGTTGTCTTGCAAGGCTTACGCATAACCCAGAAGACAACCATCTCCAGATAGCCTTCTCTGATGCGGCGACTATATCACTAAGAGCCCGGGGGCATGGTGACTCGTCTCTAGCAAGATGTTCATTTTGTTGCCAAAATATAACACGCCTTCTTTTTCCAAGTGCAGTTTTTACTACTGTTTTCTACAAATAACGTAATATATGTTAGTTCTTAAAGAAAGTATAAGCTTATTTACGTGTTTTATATAATAAAACCGAATCTTGTATATATCAGTGTAAAGTGGGAGCTGATGGACATATTAGTCACTCCTGAAGATGTTTTACTGTTGAACACGAGTTTTATTACCCGTACGAAGACATCCGTGTTACTCCAATTTCGACGACTGTTAAATGTGACTTATTTACGAGTTTCCGTTTAACGTGGGCCTACATTATGATTATTTCGAGACTACGTTTGGAAAAGAAACGTAAATTCTAGTTTATATTATCATTGGGAAGAAATATGTTGCTATGATGTCACCGAATAGTTGTCTGTGACTGTGAAAACATGTTGTAAGAAGCCCAACGTTTTAATGTTTGTATTTTCAACTTAGGAAGAGGAGGGGATACGAATTGACATCAAGAATGAAATATGACCCCTTTTTTACATAATTTTGCGATAGAGTAAATGTGAAGTGTATGGCCGGATGTACAGTGACATGAAATGAAAAAAATAATTATAATTAGGCCTATTTATTTATTACAGTAGTAAATAAACTTTATATTTAGTGTTAATAAAAATATGAAGAGGCACAAAGTGTAAGTATATTACACAGTGGCATTTCCTGTTAGTTGTCTTGAGATAATCAGGAACACATGGGCGATTTACATGCAACGTCATCATAAAATACAAAGTAAATGGAAGATGTCTGTCAGCTACTAGTCATTTAAAAGTTACAATCTCTGTATTACCAAGAGAAGTCAGATTGACAATGAAAGAAAATGGGTGCCAGCGACGATTAAATCGATTCTCTGCGTGGTTGAAACTGTAACGATTTCATGTCCGTATAAGAACATCTGAACATGACTGTGACTCATTTGAGGAGGCACATAATTTGCACAATATTGTTCTTGCCGAACACCTAAAGTGTATATATGATTTGAGGTTTTCACAGCGGTTATGAAGATTTCTGTCTCCTGGGTTGCGCTGTGTAACAACCCAGAAGACAGAAATCTTCACCTAAAATGTAGTTTAATTTCGCTGATTGATTTTTGTAACTTTGCTCAAGGTGGGTGTATACTATGTTCGTAGTAAACTATTATCTAGATATCGGATGATCTATTAATTTTACCATTTTGTAATATGACACGGTAGAGTTTCTTAACTTGTGTATGCTGTCAGCCATGTCGACCAATATGCTTCTACTAGTGAGTGAATCATTGTACGCCGATGGTACTAAATAACAGTGCTTTATTGTCTTTTACTTTGTCCGATTTAATTAGTTCCGTTCAATTCAAATTCACCAAAGTTAATTACAATAAATTAATATATATACATGTATGGTGATGCATGAATGGACATTTATATATTGTTATAAATGAAGTATTAATTATAACGGATTGGATTTGTAATTATTTCGGATTTAAGTTGATCCATTAAAAATTGGAATTATAGAAACGTTATAGAAATGTATGATTACAATTGTCCATGATACTACTATTGAATTATTAGAGTGATTATTAATCAGTGGAAGTTAATTGATATTCTGTAGGTATAGGATAAAACTTAAAATAAGCCTTGTCGGAAAACAAAAGGCATGCAATAAACAAGAACGTGTATATCTAATTATGGGCTTTCCATCAATGGAAAATTCGTTTTCATTAACAGACAACGTTCAAGGAGAGATTTTTGCAGTCAAGTGAAGAGTTACTGTATTACATGAAGTAACAAGTCTTTGTTGATCGTATCGTGTGTATTTTATGTCCTGATTCTCACTTGTCTCCACATATTTTGATAGCGTCGGAAGTTTTCAGTTTTTTCATAAAATATAAAAGCGCTTCTGAATCATGCGGATAATGTGTGTGTTTATGTTAATAGAACAGAAACTGGAGCTTCTCAAACTCGTAAAGTCCGTTACTCCTCCACCCTAATAGCTCGACAGAATAACATGAAGAGATCTTCTCTTGTAAATTCACAACCTCTCTGAGTCACACTTTAATGCACAGCTTTAGTACATTTTACTGTCGCAGTTGCTTTGCATTCGGGAGGTTTCGGCTCGACTCGAAGGTATGCTATCCTGATTCTTTTATTTTTCTCATTCGGTGCACGAAACTTGGCGACAGTGCATTAAAATAGCCCACGACGGTTTTATTTAAGATATTTTAACGTTTATCATTCACAGTATAATTTTTTTTATCGCTGTGTAACAGAACCAGTTCAGAAAGCGTCTTTAACCGAAGGAATTGCTAATCCTTGTAAACACTTTAATGTTTATATAACAGCGGTGTGTGGCACAATCAAAGGAAATGTTACGAATCTCCACTTCAAGTTCATTTTAATAAGTGGTATTGAGAATATTCGTTGCCTAATTGTGCACGTAACACTGATGACTTTCACGTTTCTTGGTATTTAACGTAATCCGTATTCTATTCGGCTACAAATTGACGTAACATAAGATTCAAACAACGATAATATTGATCAAGCCGCATGCAGGTCGCCTACAGCGCGAGTGGTCGAGTTTGCGCCTAAAACATAGCGAAACGGAAATTCCTTACAGAGCCGCAAAGCCAGGTCACGAGCAGTAGGTTGCGTACGACTCACCACGTAATCTGTGTTTCCGCTTCTGCAGTTGGCTGCGCAGCCAACAATCTCCAGCTTGCCCGCCCCAGAGGCGCCTGAGCCGTCGTGCTGCGTCGCATCCTGAAGGAGATCCTCTAGGGATTCAATGTACTCGATGGCGTTCCTCAGGATCTCCACTTTGGGGAGTCGCTGGTTAGGGTTTGTACTCGTACGCCGTTTCAGCACCTCGAAAGCTTCGTTCACCTGGCAGATGTGATGAAATAACACGCAGTAAAATATCTGTTAGGATAAACCGGTTCTTTGGAAATGAGCGACTTAACTAAAAGTCCAAAATGTAAGTCCAGGACAGAAATTCTTTGCTTTTATAGATTGAAGATTCATCCCTGTGATCACTAAACGTCGCGGCTGAGTGTATAGCATTTCAGTTTCTTATTCGGGAGGTCCCTGGTTAAAATTTCGGACCGGATAGCGAATATCCTGATCGATTAATTTTTTGGTTGTATTCAGTCCCTGACGATCTTAAACATGGAAAGAAAATGAAGTTTCAGGATTTAAAACGAGAGGCTGAGAATAGGGAAAACTGGCGAACTCTTTTTGGGCAGAATAATGGACCTGTCGTCAGACAGAACACTAAATAATAATAATTCAATCCCTCCAGGCAAGGTTTTGGATAATAATGTCAGGGCTTTACCACGTCCTTTAATGTTTTTTTTAAATATTAATTAATTATCTCATCATCCAACTCTGTACAGTCTGGGTTTCTGACAGAGTCGTTAAACAAATCACAGATAAATAAATTTACCATGTTCACAGAAGCCAGTTAATTGGACCATATTCTGCCCACTCCGTTAATACACGTGTTAGCACTCTGATAACACAAATCATATTAGAGAATAAAACTTATCGAGCTTTTTATGTATACTGGTATCGGCCTATTTATAATGTTTATTTACGGCGAATAATGCGACTGATTGATGTATTTAGCTACAGGACTTTCTTCTCGAGGCTGATTGTCCAGTCTGTGATTTCATGTAAATATAAAATTGTTGCATAAGTAGCCTACTATACATAATTAACCTAAGTAGAGAGAGATGACTCTCTTCTGGGTTATTATGCCGTCGCCCTGACGATGGAGGCAGCGAGCAACTCAGAAGACAGTTTTCTTTTTTATCGCCGCCTTGAGAATATATAATTTCACAACCTAAGTGTTTATTAATGACTGAATTTTTATGTTTCATCCTTCTTTCTTTCTCTGTCTTTCATGAAGAAAAATCTGCCATTGAGTTTAAGAACTGTCATAAAACCGTGTAGGGCGCGCGGAGTTCCAACTCCACTCATTCTTGACCACGGCTCTAGATGTGGTTGGCGTCATGATCTGGCCGTTTTTTATCCCAGCAAAGGAATCTTCTGTTCCAATCGGATAAGATAAATTGCGTGGTATCCATATCCTTAACTTGACGTATTTTGTGGGAAAAAATAGTTGCCGTTGTAATTACAGCTGTCCAATTTGCAGCCAGTCTCTTAACCGACTGATCTATCCGCGTATCTTATGCCATTGCACAGAATGTTTAAGATTAACACGCTCTTTTATCGTGAGTTCCATGTACCTATATCCAGGACGGAGTCCAGACGTTAGAAAACATGAAGTAGACTGGCTGTCACCGAACTGCTTGTCAACATACATTCTCCTATACACAGGAGCAGAGAGAGATGAAAGCTGCGAAGTTTGTGTTGGGACGTTTCTCTGTCTCGCTTCTCTCCTATGTTGGTGGTGGTGGTGATGCCAGTAGCAGCCACTAAACCTGTCAGCAGGGTCCAACAATTAGCCTCATGTCAATCCGAAGCTCACGAACCGTGCTACCGGCCCAGCGCGGCTCGGCCCCAGCAAACAGACTTGAAACACGCTCCAGATGTACCCAGCTACCTCCTCCCAAAGACGTTTCGAGTGACTTCAGTAAATGCTTTCCTTGCTTCAAGTTAAGAGAGCTTGGAGAATCACCTTCCCGCAATGAATGCGGAATTGGAGACTGAATTCGATTCCTGGCAGAGGCGTCGGGATTTTTCGCTCAAATACGGCTCTGCTTCCTCCGACGTCATTCCATTGTCATTGTAACATCTCAGACGAAGTTATTCAGCGTCTGCAGTGCACACAGCGTCTTTAAGAGCATACCAAAAATCACGAAGTCCAACTTGAGTAGGTTTGAGTACGCGACATTGGTTCTGACTTGTGGTCTAGAATTTTCCGGTTCGATTCTCAGGCTGAAACTGTTTGTGATTTTCTCATTATCTCAGGTGAATGGAATGCTAACATTCGTAACCATCTCACATTTAATGCCATGCCAAATAACGCCTGCAGGTGAGTCAGCGTCATTGTATAGCCCAATTAATCACGAAGTGCATACCTTGCGCAGTCTTCTTCGTTCCCTCAACGTGGCTGCTTTTCTGCGGTCCACTGTGACCGTCTTCTTCTTGCACGCCTTGCACGCCCACAGCAGACAGCGACGCGGTCCATGGTGAGCAAGAGTACCTGGGTGGTCTCCCTCCGGGTAGGCTGCAGCGTCTGAGCCCCCCTGTAGGAGCGGCAGGGGTGCCAGGACGTGGGGAACGTGCTGGTCCTCCGATGATTCGGATTGACCCCCTTCTTCGTCATCGCCTTCCTCGTCGTCGTCTAGCTCCTGGTGCTGTCCGACACCTTCCTCGGGCGCAGGAGGCCTAGATTAAAGAAAATAATCATCCCACAATAATAGGCGGCCTCTTGTTGTGTCGGAGTTGAATCTGCGAATACTGATACCGGAAAATGAGTTAGTTATTTTAGTATTCGGAGGCAAAACTGGTCATTTTTCCTCCTGGGGTAAGTTAAAAGACTTTCAGGCTCCTCGCGTCTTTAATTCGTAGAACCACGAAACACATCTCAGACAGCAAGTTATTGTAATATATATTTTATTTTTCCCTTTTAACGTAACGTAAGACGATTTCTTTCGTGGCTTTTGTGGATGGACCAATGTATCATCTGCACACTTACCTGCCTCTGCCTTTCATAAATTTGTGATTTGGACCGAATTTGTTGGTTAAAATGTGTAGGCTTTTTGATTTCTGAGATGTGCTTTTATACCGACTACCAGACTTAAAATATTTGAGACAAAATTTTAGTTTAGTATTATATTTTTTGCGTTATGTTATGAATATTTGTCAAATACTACCGCAAAATTGCAGCAATGCAGCAATGCTGTATATCGTTCAATTTAGTTTCTGAAGGGCGAAGTTCTCTTACTTGTTAATAAAGGCTATTTTCAAAGTTTTTATAATAAGGAGACTAAATAATTTTTATTATGTCATGTCGTAACTCGAGTACTTTTCACACATGGCTACTGTAATTGTCTTGCGTATTTGATAAGAATCTGTTAATAATCCGTAGAATGAGTTTACGCTTCTCCGTCCACGCTCCTCGCTGGTGGTATTTAATGGTTTTGTCTTCATTGTTATCTGTAATGAGTCTTCCGCTCGCGCGTATGTGTAAACGATGTTACACTCAGGGTTTAGTACTACAGGTTACAAGAAGAATTGTTGTTTACAAACTAAAGGTTCTATTTTGAAGAGTTCTCACTTTCTAAACATTATGTTTCATATAAACCCGTAATGCTAGAAGAATTACGATTTACAGCCCTCCACATTACAGTTTCTTGATCACTGCAGTCTCTCACTAGACGCCAAATAACCCCAGCTATCGGCGTCGTAAAGTAGATAAAACTGTAATAATTAGTTGGCTGCAGTGAAGCCTATTAAAACAGAAATATAATTACACAGGAATTCTTCCTTTATCGGAAAATACGTGTCTGATCTCGCGCATATGGAGAAGAAACCTTTGCAGAAATACCTCTAATAAGGGTAAAAACATTAAATGCGGAAATAGAAAGAATTACTATAATTTAACTGAAGGTAATATTGTTTTATGTTCATTTAGTTTTGTTATATAAGTGATGTTTGGAATGTATCTGTCAAGGTATATATCATAAATGTGAAGAAGCTAAGTTTGACATGTAAAACAAAATATGAATACAGCATTTTAATGGAGTACCAGAGAAAGAAAATAAAAAAATAAAGAGAATACTAATGAAAGAAACAAAGAAGGAAAGCAGTGAATAAAGAAAAAGAGATGCATAAGGACTAAACAGAAGCAATTCTGAAACTGAAAACATGTTCAAGTTCCTGGCGTGTCAGTACAAGTTAATAAAATCGAAGGTGCAAGTGCACGCGACATTGTAGCTAGCCTACCTGTGAGTGAAGGAACTGACGTTGACATCGTCGTCTTCCAAATCAAAGATCTTGTTCTTCTTCCTGTGGTGACTGGTCACTTTCCGAGTGTTTCTACCCCCGACGCCGACCGCGGGCTCGCTCACGCAGCTGCCCGTGCTGCTACTG